AAAGACAGGCATTCATCATCTTAAGCCTAGTCAGCGTCTCGGCTACATCCACCCGTCTGGTACAGGATTCTCTGGCTATCGCCAGGCCCAAGGAAAGAGACCTCGCTTAGGCTTTGGTAGATCAGGTGGAAAGGAGGATTGCGATGAAATTTCCTCGGCAGCGATTGATGAAAATGAAATTCACAATATATTTGTAAGAATCCTCGGGTCGGATTTAGAAAATCTCGTCTACCACCTGGTAACTTGCTTCATTTTGGTATTGCAGTAATCACTTTGTAATATAAAATGTTTTTCATGCTTACTTGTCTATAAACGAACTATTTCATTCAACATAAACTCGTCTGCTTATTAAGCCATGTGGTGTTATCTCGTTTTCGGCTTTCGTAGCATTCAACCCTGAAGCGGATATAGTGGCTTAGCATGATTTACCTAATTGTCATACTTAATCTATTTATTGTTTATATAAGGACCAGGAAATTGTCCAAATAACATTTATAGATAAGGAAGTGGCGAATAAATATGAAAAGATAAGGTTTTGAACGGCAGAGAGTATGATGTCATTTAAATTCTAATGTTAGCAGTATCTCTTTGCCTTACTTTTAAATAAATTTTATCATCATATATATTATTTTATTATGCTCCTTATACCTCCTGTGATGAAAATTGTGGCCCAATTTATATGGTTTAGGCCACCCTATTATCTACTCAGCATCACATTATCATATCTCTAGAACAGTATTTTTTAAGTAATATCCTTAAATATTTCTTATTCGACCGATTTTCCCCAATTTTTGTCGCCTTTTTTTACAATTAGTTCTACTCTGGTCAATTAAAGGGTGTTTGCCATCTTCTGAACTCATTGCATCTAGTTGAAGCTAAATTCAAGGCTGGCTGTGGACAAAGTCTATTAGAAGATTTTGAATTGCCAAGTAATAATTTTATTGAGACATTTTTATTTTGTGATTCTATGTCCCCCAATAAACGTATAAACTTATTCAACCAGTTCTGTCCCTCAATGATTACAATACTTAATGAGCAATAGTGCTTCCTTATACCGATGAATGCTTTGCACATAATGTAACTGTGCTTTAATTAATCGACTAACTCTTTGAGCATTCACACCAATTGGAGCTGCCAACAATTACTGTATTTTACACACCTAACTGAAACAGTTTATGAACTCTCCTCTAGCTAGAAGCCATTTCATATGCAAGCATTTTCATATCGAACAATGATATAATTGGGATTAAATTTAGAAGATTCTTCTTTGAATATTAATGTTGTAGCGGAAAAACTCAAGGCCACGTTTTGCTTTCGTTGGTTTACACTTGTCAGAATCTCTGTCCTTAGCATGGATCTTTACGCAAAACAACACTGTTTCACTGTCTACTAAGTAGAATTTGCCATCTGTTTGTGCTATGATTATTTTTTAGCAGATCACTATTACAGTACCTTCCTAGCTTTTAATGCTTCAGTGCCTAATGACGCGATCGCTCTATTATGATTGCCTGTTAGTATCTTCCGCAAAAATAATTAAGCAATTACATCTAAACCTGTTTTCAAATGTATTCATATATCGTATCATCTCTTTTTACCAATGTTACCATTTCAATGGTACATAAAATAGCAAGCTCCCATTTTTACTTTATTATTTTACTTCCAGATACATCTATGTCGGTTAGACTCAGAAAGGAATGGGAGGAGCTGACTTCTTCTCCAACAGTTGCAAAGAAGCTCAGCGAAATGCGCATATTTATCGGTCATTATCACAATATTCTACATCAGTAAGTATTTATTTATATGAATTTTTTCTTGAACTCAAATTACATTAATTCGATTACGTATTAATATTAGGCGGAAAACGTTCTTCCTTAAAGTGTTTGTTTATCAAATTGCACCCTTGGCCTCGTGGATGTTTGTTTTATAGATATTCACGTTTCCTGAACATTAAATTGTGGGGATAATTCACTTGGCTTAAGATAGTTTGAGTCTCTTCATACCCTGAATATTTATTTTATTGAGACTCTCTTTGCTTGACTTTATTCGAAGCCTATAGCTATCTCCTTTTCCCTATCGGTTTCAATGAGAGCCACATTACATTCTATTAAGGTCTATCTTAAGTGGCTTGTAAACATTGTCTGCTATCATGGTATTGCAATGCATTAGCCATTACTTAATAGCATGATATATAAAAAGTTTCCACCTTTTTGCGTGTATAACAGGCAAACTGATAGACCCATTCAAAGTGGTTATTTGCCATTTTATAGCACTTTATACAACAACCGAAATGAAAAACTTGCGCTCATAATTACCTTAAATTGTAACTATAGTGAAAACTATCTAAATGGGATCTCTTGGCACTCTTGCGGATCCTAGAATTTGCCATTATGCTTTAATTCTTATTTATCATTAGTTTTTTGGGAAGATCTTCATTTCTTATGAAGATGCGTAGGGAAGAGATTCATTGGTCAATCTCATCAGAAGACGATGGCTTAATCCCGTTGCACTGCAGCCGTTTGGCTTTAATACGCCGTTCGTGTTGACGCAGTCCCCGGGGGTAAAAACGGGCTGAGCTTTTGTCCATCACATGATGGACAACATCAAAGTTGGAACTAATTTTTGTAAAAGTTTCACGTTAACATTAGGTCAAGAAGACCAAACAATAATTTTTGGAGCATTTCAAAGCATCAATGAAGCGACAACTTGTTTGCATCTGTGACTAATGCCAAGAACGCATAGATCATGCAAACATAATACTCGGATATGTGAAGAATTTTACCAATATTCAATTTATTACTTTAATATAAGCGTGTGCACGCTTTTGCTTTATCGATAAAAGAGTATTAAAGTATTGTTTCGAGACTACCAGTAAATCAGTAATATGAAATGTACTCACCCAATTTTGTGTAAGGTGATGATGGCCGAAAGCCTGACCTTCTTTGAAATTCACATTTGCCCTCTGGCCCAAAGGCATTCGTGGCAATGTGGCCGAGTAATTAACGCGTCAAGCTCCCATTCTGCACTGTCACGATTCGACTCCCGCTGGGGGCGTTGATAAGACCGATGCGAGGTCGAAACTGCAGGCCACCCTGGATGAGAATAACTTTTTTGAAAGAAAGACTATGTGAAATTCAATGGAAACGTCAGCTCAACTCATATCATTGTGGGACAATTCTACTACCAGTCCTTAATCACCTTACACGAAATTGTGTGAATACATTTAATAATATAGTAACAAATAAAATTTCATTAATAAATATTTGCTAAGATAATCCGCATATAATAAATTTCATGAATACCCACAGGGTGAATAATTTGACCTCCGTGTAGGCGCAAACACCCACGAGATTCCTTACTACTTTACTAAAGTATATAAGCATATATAATTGAATTATATGATTAAAATGATTACAGTGTCATTATTCACTGAGTCAGAAAGAATTGTAAATCATAAATTATTTAAGTATTCCTAGACAGCAGACCCATATGGCTCAAA